CTTACAAAATCATTTACAATAAAACACTTACTTAACTGTTCTAGTTTTGAGGTGTTTCATATCCTAGGTGCCACTGTATAGAACTTCTTCTGAGATGAATATTGATGTTGCTCACACCAACATTTGTTTGACACATTTTCAAAGTCGTCTTTTAGCCCATTTCACCATCACCATTTAACTTCTCTTTCCCTGTTCAGATGAATATTCATTCACCAGGACAAGGAAAACAAGTGATGGAAGAATAATAACCAGCGGAGTGATGGTAAGGAAGTGTTGTAGACAGTGTGAAGAATGACCCTAATGAACGGATGGCTCAGATGGTAACAGGTCCCCATCACAAATCCGGCATCATTGGGACCTGTTAGTGTGCCAGATTACTAATTTGCAGAATTACAGAGTGGTTAGTTAGAATACACTTAAAAAATTAACCAACTTGACTACACAGTTCAGTGAACATCGGCTAAAATCGTACATTTCCGCTACTTGAGCTCAATTTCAAGTACTTTTCGTATGAAAGCAATCAAAATCATGTCATTTCTGTATTACATCATCTTACAATTCTATCAAAATGAGTCTAAAAAAAATGAGAATACAACCATAAAAACCATACAAAAATATACTCAAAGAGGCGGATAATGCGGAGAAGTGAGCTCCCTTATTTATCATCCGTCTTTTTATTTTTTGGTGTAACTTAAGAAGCATCTTTCCATCATACATTGCCCAAGTTTTCAAATGAGTAGACCAACTAACTACCGTAGAAAAAAAATATTTACCAAAAATCGTATTATGGCAAGATGCCCTAGCCAGGTACTGGAAATTAAGTCACTTTGGACTTTTCTGGGTTATCCCAGGTTCTCTATACATACACTGCTATGTATGATAATCTATGAACTGATTTATGTATACCTGAATAAACTTGATTTACTTCTAGTCTGTCCAACTGAGTTCAAGATATCCACCCATTCACGTGTTTCAACTACCCAATATATGGTCAGAAAGTGGCACTTTGGCCATATTTTCACACAAATTTCAACAGATGCCCAATTCAAAATAGGGTCCAGAATAACTATGCCAGACTTCCTGGCACTAAAAGATCATATTTTCTCGTTCAATAGTCACTGCTCCAGGCCCCTCTTATATTACTCTTGCTTACCATTTGGAATTTTTATTCACAAAAAAAAAAAAAATAGATGATTTACTGTTTGCAGACTACTGCATTAGTGTAATAATTATATAAATATTGTCAATAATCCCGGTGGTCTGGTGGCTATACTCCCAGCTTCACACACCGGAGGGCCGGTTCGATCCCGGCGGGTGGCATTCTGAACACGTTTCCTTAACAAAATCCTGGGTGTTCCTGTTCACCTATCAGCATTAGGTACCTGGGTGTTATCGACTGGTGTGGGTCGCATCCTTGGGGACAAGATAGACCCCAATTGAAAGAAGTTAGACAGTCCTCGATGACCACGACTTTCTGGGGTATCGGGTGGCTAACCCTCCGGGGTTAAAATCCGAACAAAATTCTTATCTTATCTTATCTTATCTGAATCCGTATTGGAATTTAGACAGTAGGCGGACAGGTATTGACGGTACGTCATTTGTTTTCCTCTCGAGCTTCGCTAAAAGAATAGAACATTTCTTTCCGCCTACTGTGAGCGTAAAATGTCAAGGTACTTTTTCGTCATGAAAGCAATCAAAATCATATATATTCTGTAATATTCTTTCATTCTTCAAATGAGACCGAAAAAAATGAGAATATAACCATAACAACCATACAAAAATATACCCGCTTAAGCAGCCTCTAATGGCTGAGAAGTGAACTCCGCTATTTATGGTCGGATTCTGGCATTTTGGTGTACAATGAAGGAAAAAGTATCTTTACATCATACATTGGTCCAAGTTTGGAATAGGATAACCCGACAAACAACTGAGAAAATAATAATAAAAATAATAATATTATCTTTATTTACTACACCACATGTAACAAGGTATACAGGCCTACTGACATCAGTGACTACTACTGTATAGAAAGCACTTGTTAATGCTGAGTATTTTTCAAGAATATTAGGTTCATGTCCCAGGATAACACCCACACTATCGACTAACCCCAGGTACCCATTTACTGATAGTAAACATAGACAACAGTGTAAAGAAAACACGCCTAAGTTTTTTCTACCTCTGGCTGGAATTGAATATTTATTCAAAAACATATATGGCTAACCCTAGCCTGGTACTAAAAATAAGCCACGTTTGACTTTTTTGGTTTATCCAAGGTTCTTCTAAACTCATTATGCGCTATGTGTGATAATCTATAGAGAGAAAATAACTTTGTTTTGTTTTCATGTTTATGGTGAGGGACGATGTATATCACAGTTAGCCCTGTGCTCCACTTCCGTTTTCTCAATATAAGCCCCTAAGACAAGGCTAGAGAATGGTATTTGTTTACCATTTCCCTCCTTCTCCATAACTCTGTCGAACTGCTCGGTGTTATGCAAATATTATTCTTTCTGAGTATTTACCATGGGTTATGTTATTTATATTATTTTTTTTAATTATTTAGTTTATTTCACACCGGCCGATTCCCTCCAAGGCAGGGGGGCCTGGGGGAAAAAGAAGAAAATCTTTCACCATCATCAATCCATCACTGTCTTGCAAGAAGGGTCTGTACACTACAGGTTTTTTAAACGGCAACATTAACACCCCCTCCCTTCAAGTGCAGGACAATGTACGTCCCATCTCCATGACTCAAGTCCCCTGCCGTTTCCCTGAATCCCTTCATAAATGTTACTTGCTCACACGCTCCACAGCACGCAAGTATAAAAACCTTTTGTCTCCATTCATCCTAGCAACACGCTCAACCATGCCTTCTGGAAGTCCTAGCCCCTCGCTCACAATACCTCCTTTACCCCCTCCCTCCAACCCTTCCTAGGCCGACCCCGACCCCGCCTTCCTTCCACATACAGACTGGATACACTCTTGAAGTACTTCTGTTTCCGCTCCATTCTCTCTTACAGTCCGAACCACCTCAACACCCGGTCCTCAGCCCTCTGGACAACAGTTTTGGTAATCCCGCACCTCCTTAATTCCAAATACGATTCTCTGCATTATTTCACACCAACATTGCCCTAGACATGACATCTCCACTGCCTCCAGCCTTCTCCTCGCTTTTTCAATTCATCACCCACAGCTTCACACGCCATATAAGAGCGTTGGTTACATATCACTCATACATTCCCCTCTTTGGCTCCAAGGACAAAGTTCTTTGTCTCCACAGACTCCTAAGTGCACCACTCACTCTTTTTCCCTCATCAATTCTATGATTCACCTCATCTTTCATAGACCCATCTGCTGACATGTCCACTCACAATTAGATCAATTGTGATAGGCAAATAAGCTGTAGTGTTGATATTAGCGTAATAATAAAGCATATTCTCCTGCATCATGAGACTGAGCTCATGACAACCAACAGTGGCTTCAAAGCCACCTTATCTTTAATGGATAATGTACTGCTTTACATAATGAGAAGCATTTCTTTTATTCATTGGAACCATAGCTAGGGCTAAAAGTAAGCAGGTTAAAACAATAAATGGAGAAAAAGAAATTGGAATGACTTATGCAGCAAGTAGCTCCACCAAACAGTACCAGCAGGTTGGTGTGGCGATCTTGGAAATTTGAAATTATGCTAGCCAAAATTAGTGCCGAATAACTGAAGGAACCGAATAACCGATTGCCGGATTTGTGATGGCGGACCTGTATTTTTGACACTAATCCTTTTTTCTTTAAACCATATAATGTAATTTACATGAATTAACATAAACGTAGGCACAAAAATGGCCACAAATTATGTAATGCATTTTGACCAGCTAATTGTAAGCCATATTAATTAATACACATACTATTAAATAAGAATTTTTATGCAATTAACTAAAATAAGACACCTTGAAGAACTGAAACAATTATGCAACATAAGACACCTAATGACAAATAGTCTATCACAAGAGAGACATATTAAATATAATTCAAAGATCCAGTTTTAGGACTGAATATAAAATTTGAAGATACGTAAGTTACTAATTACAATATATTAAATAGGACAATATTACCAATTATGTATGGGTGTTGAAGAAAGAACAGGGACAGGACTGGATGAAAGCTGGTTTTTTTAGACATAACAGATTGCTGTCTCAATTATGCTAAGGAGATGGTGTTTTTTAACAGCTTTGAAATGGCTGGCAGACAGGGAACCTTTCAATGCTTCAGACAGAGTTCCAGATCTTAAGGCCATTTATGAGCATTGAATTTTCACACAGGTTGAGTTGGACATGGGAGATGATGTCAGCTTTTTTGTGTCTTGTTGCACCTATTAAAAGGAAAAAGTTCATAGAAAGGCTTATATTGAAAAATAATGTCCTATATACTGTAGGCACAGTAGTAAGGGTA